TTGAGCCACCAGGCTTCTGGTTAGCAGTCAAGTGTCTTAGGCACTGCACTACCAGAGAGCTCCTATGGATTGAACAGTGTCTCTCAAAATATGTGTTGAAATCCTAACCCCTCTACCTATAACTATGATTCTGTTTAGAGAAAGAGGGTTTCTTTTGTTATGTCAGTGAGGTCACACCAGTGTAGGGTAGATCCTAACCCTGTTGTTATGTGCTGTCGAGTTGGCCCTGACTCATAGCAACCCCTCCTTGGTCGGGGTCGACTCGACGGCAAATAACAACAACAACAACATCATCATCACTACGGAAGTAGATTGCCCAACCTTCCTTCTGAGGAGTGGCTGGTGGGTTTGAACCTCTAGCTTTCTGGTTAGCAGTCAAGTGCCTTAGGCACTATGCTATCCTAATCACTTCTAAATAGACCCAGAGACACACAAGGGAAGAAGAACACCCTATGAAGATGGTTTACTAGCCAAGGAACGAAGGAATACCCAGGGCTAGCAACAAGGAAGGGCTCGACACAGCTGAGACCCTGGTTTGGATATTTACCCTGTGGAGCTGTGAGAAAATAGATCTCTGTTCTTTAAAGCTACTCACGTGTGCTCTTTGCATTACAGAAATAGTGTGTAACCAGGGATTCAGGAAAAATGAATGGAAACCATTAGGTGAAATACTTAAATTAAAAAAAAAAAATCACCCTATCAATATTCGAATATTGAGAAAAACTCAATTAGGGGTAAAAAATGTGAAGTAGCATAATCAATAATCGATTCAAGCTGATCTTGAAATAATGTCTATGGAATGGGTAGGAGGAGCCACTGTTTGTATACCGGTAGTGTTGTTGTTGTTGTTATGTGCTGTCGAGTCGGACCTGACTCACAGCGACCCCTCCTTGGGTTTCTGAGGCAGTATCAACATGGAAGTAGATTGCCCCATCTTCCATATTTTATTAAGTCATGAAGTCTTTCACTTGTTCATTTAGGAAGACATTCTACTAAGAAATACATGAATTTTAAAAAATAAGAAGTAGAACACTTTAACACCTCCCAAAATGATACAACTTATTTTAGGAAGTTGCAAGAGAAAGTTACTTGTCCAAGACCCCATAGACATTTTTTCCTTTTGTGGGATTGAAAACTGCTGGAATTGATAGAAGGCTCTCTGATGGTATAAAGGTGAAACTAAAGTCAATCCAGATGGCCCACACGGCACATGCAGCTAAGCCCCTGACTGCTCACAGCTCACTATGGGTCAGAATCAACTCGATGGCAGTGAGTTAGGTTTTTGAGTTTGCTAAGTCCAGGCAGCATAGTGGCTAAGACACTTGCCTGCTGACCAGACGGCTGGCGGTTCAAACCCACCAGCCACTCCTCGGAAGGAAGGTTGGGCAATCCTACTTC